CCATTAAGTAGGTACTGCTTAATTACCTCAAAATAGCGCTGTAACAATCCATGTTTTGTTGAAAGTCTCCTCAACAGACTTTCCAGATGTGAAATTGCGATTTTGCGATTGTTTGGCAGCAGATCAGTATACGCCTCCCTTTCATAGTAAAGCCACTTCGTATCATTCGTTTTTCCTGACGATCGTCTGTTCAAAACGACTGATGGTTTCTGCATCCGTATCGCCCAATTCGCGTTCGGCAATACCCATTCTGTCTAGCTCCCAGAAGGCCTTCAGCGTCTCTTCTACCTTGGCGTCAAATTGTCTGCGCTCCAAGGACACATATCAAAGACAAGAATCTTCTAGAAGCTTTCCGACTTGTGCTGAAGGACCTTGCAGCGTCCAGCCCAGTTTCGTATTGATCGCCACCAAACCATCTAAGTCTTTGCATCTCATTACCTCTCCTGTGCAGAACTTCCACAATTGGTCAGAACCGACCAGCAGACTTATCCCAGGAACTAATTCTATACCTGGAAAGATTACATCGTCCGCCAGGTTCTTCTTGTCCTGCCGAAGCTGTCGCACAAATGCGGTGTCGATTGATGGTGTAGAGACGTCCTGACAGATGACTGGGATGGTTATAGCCTCAACCGCCATTTAAATGTTGTTAAATTGGCTTCTGAGCTTTACCTCCACGACGGAGTTGTTCTCTATAACTTTTGTACTACGACTCGCGAATGTCTTCAGAGCGATCCTTGTTGTCCGAAGGACCCTCAATCCAAGAGGTCGTGCAAGCTCTTCTTTATTGAATGAGCGTTGGCTACCTCCGTCGAAGATTCCTTTGACATAGCTGGTGCCTTCGTTAGTGACCGCCCACGCCTTGAACGTTTGTAGGTATATTCCATCACTTTTCTTTCTTTCGGAGCGTGTAGCCGCGTGGGATGCAGAAACACAAATTGTCTCGTTTCCTGCAGATGAACCTTCCCTTTTCTGTTTGACGAACGCTGGATCGCACATTGTGGTTGCGTGCCTACCTCCGCATATCACACATCTCAGTTTTCTTCGGCAACGTTTTGCCCGGTGACCCTTGAGTGTGCATCGAAAACTCCTGAAGTCCAATGACAGCAGGTTCGTTTTTTCAGCTAGCTGTTTGTCGCAATCACAAGATAATGTGTCGTGCTTCTTGGAATGACAAAAGTAGCACTCACCCGCCTTTACATTGGTGGTGCTGTACAGAGTGGATGCAGATGGAAGCAACTTTATCTTTGTCTCATTCTTGGTTCTTGGGTACTCGAGCCCGCTTCTTTCTCGGCTTTCCACTTCCACGCGCAGAAAGCGGAGCATTCCATTCAGCTCTGAAACTGAATCCGACGGAATAGTTGGTGACCTTAAAGTTGAAGCTGTAAGAGTGCTCTCTTGGTCTAGAGCTGAAGAGTTACCAAAAGTCATGTTGCTGAGTTGTCTGTGATATTCAACTGTAATCTCGTAGGGTAACGCCCTGACAAGGATGTCAAACAGCATAGCTGAGAAACTTGATGTGGGTACCTTCAGAGAGGTGAGGCATCGAATGTCAAGCTGGGTGGTGTCATACAGGTTTCTCAGGCCTTTAACATCACTGGCCGACGAAACTTGCGGTAGATTCCTAAGGGCATTCAGATGCTGTCTTTCTATTCGTCTCTTGTCTCCAAACCGCTGCTGCAAAATGGTGATTGCTTCAGCATAGCATGCTTCCGTCGTTGGTAGACCGGCTATTGCTGCTGCCGCATCTCCAGTAAGACACCAACGAAGGTAGTGAAACTTATCTGTGAATGACAATGTTGGATTCCTGTGAATTGCACCATCAAACTGCTCACAGAACGCTAGCCAGTTGCTTAGCCCTCCCTCAAAAGTGGATAGTTCAAGCTTTGGGAGCTTTGGTCCTCGACTGGCTGAGTTGTCTTGAATGACGGCCTGCGCTGCCATATTCGCCACTGAATTTTCTATTCTCCGAGGTTCCAGGGCTCCAATTTTGCTTTGCAGTTCGTTGAGTATCATGACTGCATCGTCTTGATATTCAGCATTAGCGATACATTCCTGTTCCAACTGCTCTACCGGAATGAGTGGCTCTTGCACAACGTCAATTTGCAGATGCTCTGCGTTGTTGGTAGTGAGCCTTTCCTTGATCGAACGGACTTTAGCAATGTCCGGGCTGGGATCCTGTAGAACTCGATGTCCGTCGTTTATAATCTTGGTGTTCTGTGCCCGTCGAGCCGAGCGCCTAGCCTTCAACCTCTCCATTGCCAATCAGTAGTTACGATGCAATGTAGTGTCCTTCCGAGGTTCCGTTTCTTTTCTTTGCCCAGAGGTCTGCTTCTGCCTATGATTCGTCGAAGTCCGTCGCAGCTGTAGGCTTGGTATTTCTTTGGCGTGTAGCTGACGGCCTTGTGATGCAGAAGCGTCCCGGGTTTCGGCACCAAATGTTACGGAACTAATAAAAACAGAGGCAGAAAGATAGACAATTCGGTCAGGATGACCTTACTCTTTTACTGTTCGGCTCCATCTCGTTCACAAAGACTCGCGCTCTCGATCCCCCTCGTCTTCTTCATCTACCATTTGTAACATGGGCAATCCGGTACGAACTGCGAATGCGCTACAACAGAGGACTCCAAGATGCGCAGTTGGTACCGCAGGGCCCATCGTACTGTAAGAAATGTGCAAAAAACAGTACCCTAAAACTCCGTATTAGAGAGTTTAAGGGAATCGTTTTTGCACATCCGATAAGGTGCGATGGGCAATCCGGTACAAACTGCAAATGCGCTACAACAGAGGACTCCAAGATGCGCAGCTGGTACTGCAGGGCCCATCGTACTGTATGAAATGTGCAAAAACAGTACCCTAAAACTCCGTATTAGAGAGTTTAAGAGTATCGTTTTTGCACATTCGATACGGCACGATGGGCCCTGCGGTACGAACTGCGCATAGGCTACCGCAGAAGACTCTGATATGTGGTGTGCGTACCGGAGGGCCCACTGTACTGTATCGAATGTGCAAAAACGGTTCGCTGAAAGTCTCTAAGGTACGAGGGCAATCCATTACGAACTGCGCATGCGATACAACAGAAGACTCGCACATACGCAGTTCGTACCGCAGGGCCCATCGTGCCGTATCGGTGTGGAAAAACGGTTCCCTAAAACTCATTATAAAGTCAAACAGTAGTCAACGTTACGATCCGATGTAGCCAATCAAAAAGCGGCAAAGTGGCCTCGTCATGGCGCTCCTCGTCTTTGTTCGTTCGCTATCACTTGCTAGACCAATCACGCGCAGGGAATAGGGCGTAAACCTAGGGTATTTTTTGTGAATTTTAATAGGGAGTTTTAGGGAACCGTTTTTGCTCATCGGATATGTTACGATGGGCCCTCTGGTACGCACTGCGCATATGCGATTCTCCTATGGTAGTGCATGTGCAATTCGTACCGGAGGACCCGTCGTACCGTATAGAGTGCACCAAAAAGGGTTCCCTAGAACTCCCTATTAATTTAGCCGGTGTCGGTGACGGTGCATTTTTGGTACTGCTTGAGTGGCTTTGTTGGAGTGGCTGCGGTAGATCTTAAAGGGAACAGAAGTATAATGCGGGAAATATGATGCTATACATAGCATTTCTGAGTAAACACAACGCACTTCCGCGTCCGTGGTTTGCCTTGTACCCAAAGAAGGACGCAGCACGCTTCTGTTATATACCTACATCAGTCGTGCATACCGTAATAATGCACGTAGTAATGCGCCAAACGAATGTGATGTAATATCGCAGCTTCCGAACGGGAACTGCGGTTACCGAGGATCGTATTATGTTCTTGTTACGTTTATTCCATATATTAAGATGGAAAGATTCGAATTATGGTAATTCCACAATTGTTGGTTGGTCGAGCAATGGCCGTTAGATCTAAATATTAAGTGAATTCGTTTTAGATGTCACGAAAGGCTTCGTAGACGTCAACAAAACAAACTTTTTGCATTCATCGTCCGTCCTACTGACTACAGATAACACTTCGGTCAAAGCACGCGTACGATCGAATTACGCGCGCATTATGGTGATGCGAGAGCAGCGCAAGTACACAACACGCAGCAAAGGACAGCTCATTGTCCGCGCACCTTCGAAAATTACAACGATGCTAGGATAAATTCTATTCCCTTCGAACATAACCCGTGTCGCTCGCGTGAATCTTCCTTCTTCTGACGCGATCCGAGCGGTTATGTAGCACTTGTTTTCAAGCTTTGGTCGATGCTCGCTCTTCATTTGTAATCCAGATTTAAGAGACCTACCGCGGCGCTTATTTTCTTGTAATGACGAGGAAGCACAGCGTTGAGTGGAATTTTCGTGCTAAACATCTGCTCTACAACAATGCGAAATCTATGCGCGTGGTGTTGAAACAAAAGTCACCAAGAAAGCGGGAAAAGACCAAGAAAAACGGCTGTATGGCATGACAGGAAACAAGCGCTTTAGGGGGGCTTGGGAATTTGTCACGTGGCCAGTATTAATGATTAACTAAGAGAAACTAAAGATGTTTATGACGGCAAAGTTAAAATTTTGATTATATAGCAAAAACACGGCACGATACTCCGTTTTATCCGAAGTCCAAGGGCTCAACGCTTTTAGGCAATGAGGTCCATCGAGCTTTCTGGAGCGCGCTAGATCACGGCATTATCTGTGTTTATGTGCGTGTGTTACCATCAAATGATAAAATAAGTACGAAAAATGCACCGTAACATTGCGTTTTTAGTCTGTGCGTTTGTACTTGTGTTGCAACTATAGCTTTCGGCCCCGCTCGGAACTTAAGATGAAAGGGAGTGTAGACATCCTTCGAATCGCGGGCACCAAAACTGTAATTTTAACGTGTCGTCTCCATCAGTTGCTTGCATAACAATAGTACGTAAAGGAATGTTCAAATATCTGTGCAACCGCTAATCCCTTAAGATAGATGTACCTAGCCAGCAGCCCAACGCCGCCTAATCTAGCCTTCAGCGTTCTCTCAGTATTTGCCTAATCAATAAACTCTCACATACGAATGTTTCAGCTGCCACCACTTACCCACAATCCGAGGGTTCCAGAAATAAAGCGGGACCGACACAAGTCCACTTGTTGCGAGAAAGATTGGAATCTTTTCCACGCCGAGATAGTCCGCTGCAATCACAGTGCTCATGGTCATGAGCGTAGCTGCGGCCATTGCCAGGAGGAGCGAAACCAGCACAAAGAGTGGAACCGATGTGACAATGGGATAAAGAATCGCGGAAAGTCCGACAATTACGTAGCAAAACATCACCAGTGTACTCCGTCGCAAAAGCTTTCTGTCGGCAAGTAACGGAAGTCCCATGGCTCCGAGAAAATCAGTAAGGGAAGTGTAAACGAGGATAGAGGAGGCGGCATCCAGAGACATTTCTCTGTCCATGGCATAGTCTACTATGGTTGAAAAGAATATGCTCTGCGTGTATACAGTACTCAGACCTGCCAGAGCGACAATAAAGAACATGGGTCTACGGAAAACCGCGATGATGTGTAATACGGAGTATGGTCCCTGAAACTCTTTTTCAGTGCCCTCTAGTGTAGGCAGACTCTGACCTTGAGACTGACCGGGATCGCCCTCGTTTTTCGATATAGCCTTGTCTTTTTTTAGTTGTGGCTGTCTAAACCAGGGTGGTTCTTCAAGCAGAGAAATAAAAGCAGTCGCGTTTATCAACATTGCCCCTACGATCAAAAGCATTCCTCGAAAACCGTATTCTCTCTCTAAGAAGACCACCAGCTTTGGAAAAATTAAGCCAGAGCACGTTGCCCCCGCGTACCGAATACCACTTGCGATTCCTCTGTACTTGTCAAAATAAGCCAGCAAGACCGTATTTACTGCAATCATCGTCGCCCCTCTACCGCCGCCTGCAGAGGAAAGAAAATGAAAATCATTTTTGCTGTATAAATAAAGCAATTTCTTACTGCAGTTTGCACTATAGGCGACGAGCATACACGTACCAGCACATCAGTACACACTGCACACCATATTCTTTTTTTTTTTTTGCATTTGCGAGGGACACTAAACACCACTAATATCGTTTCTTAGTGGCATGCCAGTAAAAAACGTGTTTCAGTATAAAATCTGTCCAAAACTTGATAGCAAACAACATATTTTCGTTACCGCAGGCTGCAACTATCTCGAGAAATCAATTCAATGTCGCTAGATGTGTTAAATTCGGGAAACTATAGTGTTTGACCGGTGGTGCAGCCCCTCCCACATCTTTCCGCTTCAGCGGAGCGAACGATGGGGAGGACGCGACCTCCTCTTCAGCGGTCGTTCTGCTGAAGTGGAGAGATGTGGCAGGACTTTTCCCTGAATTCTTAACCTGTCACCGCCTATAGACAATATCTTGTTTCAATTGGACAGACGTTTATAATTTTTGAAGAAGGGAAGGCCTCTTACGTGAATATCGTTTTCAGTGGAAACTTGTCGAACCCGGCAAGCATTACATGAAAAAACAACAGCCATGACCAGGTGGCTTATTAACTTATATTTGTTCAGTTTTTAAGATTTATTAAAAAGCACATCGTATTTTCGACTTTTAGACACACAAATTAGGTCCTCCTACTGTCTACCTTCAAACTGTGAAAACGCGTCCTGAAACGCTTAAAAGAAGGAAGTTAAAAAAATAGTAATAAACCATTCGATTGTGACCTTCATTCAACACCTACCCAATTTTTGTGTATGCTCGATCTCACAAACCTTTGCAGTGCAAGCGTATGGCCCCGAGCGCGTGGCTTTGGAAAGTTCCTCCTATGCATGAGTTCTCGTACAAACATAATCATTCTGCGAAGCTAGGCCCACGCGCCTGTCCCTTTGGCTTTACTGCAGGCATTTGTGAGATGAAGTATAGCCTGCATGGTGTATGGCTTAAAAAAAAAACATTTTTTACACTATTTTCAGTCAAGCCCTCGGTAATTAATATACGAAACCTGTATTTACCGTGGATGAAACCATACGTAAAGTACAACCACTGGATGTTGGTGGCAAAGGCTGAGGCCACAATGCCAAACCAGAGAAGCATGCTGCCGACAATGGCGATTCGTGCGATGGAAACTCGTTGTTGAAGTAGCACAACAATGATGCCTGTATAAAGAAAAAGTGATTGCAGCAACTTTTTTTTTTGAGCCATCGCGCGAGCTAATGTTTTATTGTACCATTAGCATTACCGGAAAGACAAATATAATTTGGGATAAAGTTAAACTAACCAATCTATACAGCGTTTCCCCTCACGGTATACCGCAGAGATAGCTACACTCTTAGAAAAAAGAGTCAGTATAGACCTCCCTAAAGGGGGAACGCCCTTGACACATATGTTCCCTCAGAAAGGGAGAAACGTTAGTCCCTAAAGCAGGAAAGCAAAAAATTCTCCGTCGCCTGCATTTCATTATGGCGGCCACGAATCGAGCAAATCGAACTCAATAAGGCTCAACGAGAACACTAAGTACGGAGCAAGAGGAGCAGCAAATAAAAACGTAACACGAGCTTTCTGCGAACAGTATTTATTTCCGAGGCCGGCTTACCCCTGCAGGTAAAGAAACTTACGTTTCGAAAGCATGCAGTCACTCAGTCTTCTCATCGTCAGCACTGCGATGTTAAACGGAGACAACCGGCACCCAGTTCGCGCACTCTATGTCTTACCTTTGCTATTCCTCGAGCCACGATTCCTTCGTCAACCGTTGCGTCAACCGCACATCACGGAGGAGTGGTAAGCCATTCGCCCGCAAAACCAAAAGCCGCTCTCAAGAAAAGCAAATCCGAAGCAACCTCTTGGCTTATCTCACACGGTAACACGAAATTATGACGTATTGCCACCAGATGGCAAGGTCAAGCCGAGTAACGCAGCCGAGTAATCGCAAGTAGCTAGGCTAGGTGGCGCTAGGTACCACCAAATTCATGTTCTACAAAAAAATATTTTAATTTTTTCACGTCACCTTTGCGTTTCATTATCATCGGGAATCTCTATTATACCAACATGTTTACATATTACGCATACTGCAAGCATCAGGTGAACATACATTGAGCGCATACACATACATGGCACATCACATACACACATCAACACTACGGCACACTAACCCGAACACTACACCCGAGCTTCTGCGTTTCCGTCTTTTGTACTGGTCGTTTTGAACGTACGGAATTTTTCGGTGACTCCCTATGCAATAAAAAATATTCAGAACGTGTTGACTTATTTCCAGCAATGTCATACATCAAAGAGTATTTTTAATGGTTCAGGGGATGAATCTCTTATTAAAAAAAAAAATCGCTCGATCATGCCGTAAGTATTTGGACGCCAATGAATCGAGCCGCTTCAATGCAGTTCCAAGCCACGAGTTTGTTTCCCGGCACGGCACTTTGCAGCCAGTATTTCTATTGTAGTGTTTGTTTTCCTATTTGTGCTGTTCGCGCACGGCTGCAATTGCCGTCTTGAATTAATCTCTGTAGAGCGAATATTCACTCAGCTGGAAGTGATGCTTCACGGACAGAGAAATCGCTTTCCGATCAACTTGAATGCAGTCAAAGCCGCGACTTGCGGCATGTGTTAAGTGTACGCAGCTACGCCGTTGCGAGCTCAAAAACTTCTAGCGCTCATCCCAGCGCGCCACTTGGAGGGCAGTTTCTCCAGGAACCGTGGTATATTTAAACAGTACAATAAAGAATAGCGTTTTTTTCCATTTTATATGTTTTTTTTTAATGCTAAAATTCCGTTGTAAATATACGTACTTTCCGTCATAATTTCGTACTGTTCAGTTTTTCCCCAGAGCGCAATCGCTCTCGGGTTCCGACAGCCATATTGACCACTGTACCAGCCGAATGCAGCTAACGGAGTTCCGGGTTGGGCCGATAGGGGCGCCGCGTCGCTGGCTTCTCTGTCATACGTCCATCCAAAGAGCGGATTCGTAGGTCTACCCAGCCGACTCCGACCAAACTGTTATGCTCCTATTCACCGCTATGACTTTGAGCGCTGGCGACGTGTATATGATCTTCGCTACCGGAAGCGAAGCAGTCTGGGCTCTTTCGACCAATCACTAAGGGCGAGAGGAAACGACCGGAACGACCGTTTTTTTTTGTTTTGTTTGCGCTCGCCCTTGTCACTCCAAGTTTTCAAACTGTTCCGCGCGTGCTGAAATCGAAAGTGCGAATTTTACGGCAGTACTAGCAGTACGGTGCAATGCTGCTGTGCGCTTATAATTATTAGTGACGTACGTCTTTAATTTGACAGAGATTCTGCCGAGTGTGTTGCGTGCCTCATGACGGCGTATTGCGGAGTCTACAGCGCGGCGAAGTGGTGTAACAATTCTTCAAAAGACCTCGGAGTGCTTATTTTTCCGGTTTCCAACAGGCGACAGGTGAACCTCTACAGGGTGAAACAAGGAGACGGGAGGCTCATTAAATCGACCGCAAAATTCGGTTTCTTAACCTATCACGCTACGACTTTGTGCAGCGTTGCCCACAGATGGTGCATTTCTTTTTTTGTAAAATTTGCAAAGAGCAAACTTACCTGAGGAAAAAGTAAAGAAAGAAAAAGGCTTAGCTCCTATGGAAACGCAGCGAAGTCACCGGTCTTCAAACAACACGGCGCCGTTTCGCACGGGAGACAAGAGATGGCGCAACGAACGCCACCAACGAACGAGCATACGGCGCCGAGAGCCGGCGTTTTTAGCAGACGATCTTTTCGACTCAAAAGCGGCGCGCGTTCCGCAGGCGGCAACATTCGCAGAAACAAAAACAGGCGCGGTAACAACAAGGAACTACAGTTCCTTGTCTGCTAAAGACGCCAGCTCTCAGCGTCGTATGGTCCTTCGTTGGCGGCAGTTGGCGTCGCGACCGCTCGCGCCATCTCTTGTCTCCCGTGTGAAACGGCGCCGTGTTGTTTGAAGACCGGTGGCGTCGCTGCGTTTCCATAGGAGCTAAGCCTTTTTCTTTCTATCTTTTTCCTCAGGTAAAGTCGCTCTTTGCAAATTTTACAAAAAAAAATGCGCCATCTGTGGGCAACGCTGCACAAAGTCGTAGCGTGATATGTTAAGGAACCGAATTTTGCGGTCGATTTAAAGAGCCTGCCGTCTCCTTGTTTCACCCTGTATATCAAAATTTTTGTCAGCGTTCGAAGCTCGATCTTTCCATTAGAGCATCGAAATGGATTGCGTATGCCAATCGCCAGGACTTTGGAAGCCTGCCCGGCTTGCCGACGAGCAAGCTGCGTCAGCGTCGTTTGTGCAGCGAGCACTTCGGCGCTACCGTGTTTGCAAGCTGTAGGAAGATTCGTTTGTGGAAAAACGCGTGCCCCACCGTTCTTTTTGCGAATCCGTTGCTGCAAGGACTTGTTCCTCCAGGTGAGTTGCTGTCAGAGTAATCTTCAGTTAATATGACTGCTTCGTTTTTAACTTTTTATATCTTAGGATAGAGTACGGAAAAGCACCTACAGTCAGAGATGCAGTAGTCACTCCAAAACAGTAGTTGTTTTCTTTTTTCTTAATTGCATTGCCTATTAGCGAGTTTGTTTATGGTTTATTTGTCGTTTATTCTTATGCAGCTCACCTGCATGCCTTTTGCTTTATTTCGGTGTTGATTTGTTTGTTTGGGTATTCAGAATTTTTGATTGTGGGAGTTGTTTATAGAGCCATTTAGATGATTCGATGATAAGTGTTTTTCTTTTAGTTTGTTCAGCAAAGTAATTAATTTCGTTCGACATATTTGACAACTTTTACTGCGTTTACTGCCTACTACAGTCCTTGGTTCCCCTTAGAGGGCGGTGGACTGCCAACGGAGTTTGTAGATACGTGTTTGAAATGCCGCAACTCATTTGAATGGTGTTCAATAAAAAATAAATTTCTATGAACGTGCTGTTTCTGTTTTGTTGCACTGGTAATATCACGTGAAGCGCAGTTGCGAAGCATATCGCGCGCGGCTCGTCTGTTAAGACAAATGCCGTGCTAACCACTCGCAGCTGCCCGCGCGACACCAGTCTAGCAAACAAACCCGAAAAAAAAAGGGGGGGGGGGAGGGTAGGAGGAGGAGGCGAGGAGGGCACACGCCAACGACAGTGGTGGCGCCATCTGTCTGTCTTTCGTGACAAATTTTAGTCTCCGACCGTACGTATGTTCGCCTTTCTGCCACTAGCGCCTCGTGGTGCTAGTTTCTCCTTACCACGGTGGAGGCTACAACTGCACTCGGCTGGCTGTACGACAGGAGCTTACCGTTCAGACCAGCGTTCCAACATGACTATCCGCCCGTCAATCGACTGCACCTAATTCCTCAAGTGGTCTTAAACTCTTTAATGTAAAGCGGAATGTCAACCTGCGACACTCCGCCCCTTCCGATCACGGTCCGACCAGCAGCATCAATGCCCAACAGTTTACGTCATCTCATCTTGTTGTTACACCACTGATACGCGAACACACGGTCACATCGGCGATCATTTCAGTCTTCTGTTCCCTACGCACAACACTGCCATCACGACGTTGCTAACACGCAGAAATACAGAACCACGTTATCGCCGGTTGGCACTCGGCACGGGAAAACGGAATCGAACTCAGCACGGAAGGCACCCAGGCAGCCGGCAGGAAAACCTGCCTGCCTTGGACGCAGTTCCTGCAATTTCCATAACGTCGAAAACGTCGACACAGTTCCGTGTGGTTTCGCTACTGTAGGACTGTAGTTCCGCCAGTTCCGCATGAGGCCCGCAATCCGGGGACGGCCATCTTACCCAGTATACGTAGCGCTGGTGGCATTACTCCAGAACTTTGCTGTTTCTAGCGGCTTCGTTTACTCGTTTGATGAAGTTAGTGGTAAAAACGTCAATGCAACCGAAATGTTCTGCACGCTTGGGCTAGAAGACGGAATAACAGGCGGCCTTTGATGCTAGTGAAGCTCAATCAGCGCAACAGCATTTATTAAACAACGTGCGCGACCTGCTCGAAAAACGAAACCGAAAGAAGATGAGTCGGGAGGGCGAAAGCTTTCTCCCGTCTGCCTGGAGAAGGAGAAAAACGTTTCGTTCCTCCCTTTTTCTCGTGTCCGCTTGGGGGCGCGGCACTAGAAGGGAGGAAGACGCGCCGTTGCTACCTTTTTTTTTCCATTTTTTAACTGTATTAATGCACAAGTCTTCACCAAGAAAGTCATAAACGT